TAGGTGAGTGCATATATATATATATATATATATATATATATATATATATATACAACACACTCACCTATACACACCTTCACCTATGCACACATATTCATCCACACACACACACCCGCCCAAACAAACTTACACACACGCATACACCCACACACGCAGACACACTTCGAAATGTACATTTCAAAGAAGATCACAGACTTTATGCGAATGCGTGACCCACACGCATAAGTCCGTTTGTCTCTCTGTTACTGCCCTATACGGTTGTACAAAATATATCACACGTGAAAGATATCACATTTCTGAGTTGCTGCTGACTGCTTTGAACTGCTGCTTATTGCACACCTAGAACTTATCCGAATCAAGATGAATACGCTCAGCCTACTCCAAAATTCTTTGTCTTCGAATTCAAAATAGCATTTGACTTCTTATAATCGCTTCGCCACCACTTTAGACAAGGGCGCTACTTTTCAGCTGTGAAACTTTTTTTTACAAAAGTCTTTTTTGTTAGTAAGTATAACTGCCTTTTTCGTGACATCGTAAAATTCAACATTTTTGTTAGCAGCAATAGCAGTGAGACTGCTTGATCTGTCCGTGTCATACTTTTAGTGTTATTGAGGTGCAGATACACGTGGCGCAGTTCCGCTTGCTGTGTCTGATTCGACACATTCAGTTTTTTCTGAAGTTTGCTTGTAAAATTATTTTTTATTTCCTTTGCTCTTCTTCTTAAGAGCGTTGCACATTGCTGCAGACACGATTTGCTAGTGAGCCAAAAAATTCACGTGTCCAAATGATAAATAAAATAAAAAATCGTCCTTAGAACATGCATTTCTGTCGTGGAATTTGACCAGATGGCGCAGCTGGCAACGAATTCATAAAGCTTATTTTTTATCAATAAAAAAAAAGAAATGAGCGAGCGATATGTTTAGTAACGGAGAAAATTTTCTTGCTCCATTCTTTTCAACTGTTTGAACTTGATTAATCACCTTTCATGTTAGTCACACTAGGAAATAGCTGCAAAATTTTTGTGCGCTGAAATTCTTAGTTATATAATTTTAAGAGCTTGTCTAGTTGGTTAGTTGGTAAGTATGAGGCAATAGTAAATAGCGCTGTTTTCGCGCCGGGTTTCTGGGTTGCGGCCATTGAGAAAGCTTCCTTTCTATATTTGTTTTAGTTTTTAATTAGTACTGACGCACGCGAGAGAGGCAAAACTGCCAAAAGCTTGCTTTTATGACAATCCTCGGAAGAACGAGCTACTAACAGTTTTGTCAATGAGCGGTTGCTGCTGACACTAACTACTATTTGGATCACTTCTGAGTGCATAAAATGATTGGGCCATACCTACGCCATGTATTCAGGCAAGTCAGAGATATATGCAACGAACAGTGATATTGCCAACCAGTCAAGCTAGAGAAATGAAACTTCGCAAGGATATTCTACGGCCAATGTGCGATCTGAATAGTTCAAATTTAGCTTTAAAGCTCGCTTAGCTCTTATGTTCGCGCAAATGAAAACTTAATCTGGGACACTGCTGGCATCCAATTAACTCTGTAGTCAGACTAAGCAGGAAGCATTATTTTCCTGAGAATGTTTGCTCTTCATGCGCGGGTCATCAAAAGTAAGATGAGCTCCTGCCTAAACATGAATCTTGCGTGTAGGCGCATCAAATGTTGAAATTGCAATGTCGCAGTTATACCATGGCAGTAAAGGCGATCGCTTTACAGGATCGAATCACACAAAAACATGTTGTCGCACCGGCAAGCCTTGTGGATTGTTATCTGGATTATATTTTATAATTTGACATGTTCTGGGTGTCTGCGTGTTTGTTTGTTTGTCTTCCAGCCCGTTCGCTTGTCTCTTCGCTGCCCTAATAAATCAGTTCCAGGGATATGTAATACAACAAGTTGAAATTTTTGGGAATTGTTGCTCGACCGATTGTGGAGGTGCAGCTTAGAACCACTTGTCGTCAAGTTTTACGAGCGCAGAAACATCAGTTATCATCATAGTAAATTTAAATGAACGACATGCACCAGGGTTGTCGGTGCGATTATGAGTTTTGTACAGTCTTGCCCAGCAGACATTTGCTATTAGAAATGTTCACTGCTTCGCAATAGAAAATTTCGTGGTAAAACTTTCACTTTTCTGTAAGTGCGAGGACATGCGCAGAAGATGAATTCAAATTTTCGAGGTCGCACATAGACGCGAAACATACTCATGAATTTCAGCTTATTCGGTTCTCGAATTCGAGTGCATTTTGAGTTTTCAAGTGTCCTTACGTAACACCTAGGCGCATCTGGGGTTCAACTTACGAAGCTGCTGATTGAAAAGACATACTCTTATAATTTCACCGTCTTAATTTGTCCGATTGCTGATTTGAAAGCTCGGATAGAAATCCAGACACACACACATATACATCGGCAGGATCTGGACAGCATTCTTTTTACGCCAGGGTGTTGCAGCGCAAAATGCATTTAAAAATTATTTGAAAGGATTATTTTGAATAACGTGCATTTAAAAAAGAACAATTATAGCTGAAATTGCTTCTGAATCTGTGGCAAAAATTGATGGTTTGGATAACACGATGTTTGCAAAAATGTTTTTTTTTCTTCTTCGGCTTCTTTTTCCATCTGACGTTTGCAGGTACAATTAATATTTTTTATAAAGTGTCAAGTGCAGAAAAAAGCCACATACTGACCAAAGAAATGCCTTTTCGTGCATCTATACTTAGTTAACAAGCAAAATCCAGATGAGGGGGAGGAGACAGTGGAGAGAATGGGAAATGAAAAAGTCGCATTCGGAAAAAAGCACGCCTAACTCAGGAAGTGACGGATAATTTTTAAGTCATATAAAATATTGAATTTTTTAGTCATTCCGCGTGTCACGGGACTTATCTTCATGTTGATATGGTATCTTATCACATCAATTTGTTTCGTTATCGTTGTACAAGTTTTACATAAAGTTTTACATAAATCAAATTAATATGGGAGTCTAAGGAAATGCGTGATGATTCGTTTTCACAATAGTGCGCGATGTGTAAATGCCACAGGGGTCATCATTTAATTACTTGAATAATTAATCCTGAGTTGCAACAGCGGCACATTTTGTGCTTTTCTTATCCCATGGCATCACAGCTATTGCTTTTTTGATCCTGCAACATTGCCATTCTCTTCAGCCCTTTCTGATTCACCCAATAAGCAAGCATTATTGAGACAAAAATCAAATTTCAAATACGACTTGCGCCAATTATTTCCGACCACATTTGCACTTATCATTACAAGGCTCAGTGAAAAACAAATGTAATAAAATGATAAAGTTTTACACTGTTATCACAAAAATGTATGAAATCTAAATACACATTTTCAGCTTCGCGAAACGCCACATTTCACTGGAACCGAATTTCATCCATAATCATTCGAATTTCTGAAAATTTTCTGAGACTTTCTGGTGTGCAGAATTCATGAATTGTTCGTGCTTTGGTTCCAAAAAAACATCCCCAACAGTCTCAACGGAGCCAAAAAAATCAACACCACCAGCAAAAGATGATGAGTTCAATGATTCAAGAATACCATTGACCAGGAAGCAAAAATTTGTACTCATCAAGAACTGGAAAGGTATTGAGCGTGAGGTTTCTGCGGCTGGTATCGAAATGTTCCTGAAGTACGTTCGATGAAATATTCTTTTTTTTTTTTGACCGTGACTTTGCACGGGTTCATTAGCTAGGAATAGTTTTAATGCCATGGCACAAAATATCTGTTTCTGTATATTTTTTGTGGACAACTTTCAGCATCTTCTGCACATATCAAACTTTCTCATTCGCTCTCTCTGAAAGGTGGAGGCACTCGGGAGTAATCCAAACGGTAAGAACTGTCAAAAGCAGCCACATTTTACAGTACAGATTTCCTACATGTATAAGATCCTAAAATGACTATTGTTTAAAATCGAAATTATTATACTGGTGTTTTACTCCGACTAAGCTGGCCATTTAGGGACGGGAGGCAACGAGTAATAGTTGAGACAGGCATTCATGCCTGAGTGTTCGGAATGGCTAACCTGGTTATGATTGCATTTCTGGAATGATTAGGACCGAACTGTGTCCACTTGCTCATTGCCGAATTTGTACCAGTTGCGTTTTTACTTCTCACACTGAGCGTGTGATGTTCAGACCGCTCACCTCACCCAGTGCAAAAGTGAACGACAATCACTTGCGCATCCAGATGAAACCAAATGCTTATACAAATCGAATGCTTAAAGTGCAAAATCTCTAGGCTTTCGCGAAAAGCTGAATTTCACACTTCAAGAGCTCTGGTAACAGCTACAGGGCTTGAACTTTTGCAATGCGTTTAGAAACTGGAAGACGTAAGTGTTATGAGAACAATGGCGGCGAATCATTTGGTTGTCTTACGATGACATTATTCTTTCTTCGAACTGAAATATCAGTACATTAATAGAACAGATTTGTTGAGAAGAGCTTTTCTCTCGCATAGTGAGCTCGAGCTGCGCTGTTGAGTTGCTTAAGTTAAATTTGTTAAATTTCTGACTGAAAGAGTTTGAAAGCTCTGAGTCAAAAGGCTTTAAATTATAAATCTTTGTAGAATGTTGGCCGAGCACCCCGAATACTATGAATTATTTAAATTTCGGAATATCGCTAACGCTGCGAAGGAAAATCAAGCTCAGGATGAGCTGCTAAGTGCGCACGGCGCTGCTGTCATGAAATTTCTCGGACAGGCAATCAGGTGATCCACGGGTTTGAACGAGTTTTTTGGCAGAAAAAATAATTTTAACGACTTTCCATCAGAATTCATTTGCATTAGTTTCTTATGTATTTTAACAAGAAACACTAAAATATGAATCGAAATCTTACTCTGTTCGGGGTCTAGTTGAACTTATTTTTTTGTTGCCCTTTTCCTAATTGAATATTACTGATCACTAGTGTGACCACTGGCAAGGGCACAGACCGAGAAGCAGTTGTTCATTTTCCTTCTGGCAATTTATTTGCCGTGTCGAAATCAAATCTCTTTCCGTATTTGCTCTTTAAATTGGCGCAATGTAACCCAACAGTAAGTACTCGGAATGTAACCCAACAGTAACAAGTACCAAGAGCAACCAACCACTGGCAAGGCTACTGATGGCTCCCGCTTTCTAGGATTGCTCACAAGCAAGTTAATGGCAGGTTTAACTCGCTGACATATGCCACTACCAATTTACCACCGAAACGAACGGATGAATGGTAGAGGGAGTGGTTCGGACCTTCGGCCCACTGCCGGTTAACAGCGCTACTTTCCACTGCGCGGTCTGCGGTGGAAAGTATCACTTGTCATTTGTTATGTATAAATTTTTATTATTAAAATATTAATTGGTATAAAAAGATTCTTCTCATCCTTTTCAAAACAGAGCTGAGAAACACTTTGCTTCTCCTTTCTCGCTGTGATACTTAAAAAAAATCTTGATAAGACATACTTCCCGCAATTTTTTTAACAGGATTGGGTGATATTTATTTGATTAATCATCATTTCCCTGATTTGTCATTTATGCAAAGTACAAACTGTAACAAAGCTAGAGATGCTAGAAATTCTTCACAACAGTCAGTGGTCAAGCTTACGTTTCCAAAAAGGAACAAAACTTGTTTTCTGGCCTTTCCCCTTCTTACGTCAGTCAAGAATGCATTAGCGAAGGCATTAGTCAGTCAGCCGTGTGGCACTCGGGAAAACGCACGAGCAAACTGAGCTGTTTATTGCTCCAAATTCTGGATTAAATTCATGCAAATTTGCAGTAAAATTGAAGATGCTGACGTTTTTTACTCACTGCTTGAGGACAATGGAAAACAACACGCGTACAAGAAACTTTTCAAGCCAGAAATGTTTTGGGTTCGTTTGATCTTTTCCTCATTTTCTCAGTTATGAATTTCTGTCCATGCCATGCTACGATATGCAAAACTGTTAAAAATTTCCTGCTACAGCCATTACCTATGGTTAGAGGAGCAGGGGGCACAACTAGTAATCGCTTTTCGAAACGTTCATCGAGTCGCCGTTACATTCCATGCCATCTTTGTCACCGTTACTAAATGTATGAAAATTTTGTCGTATTAGCTTACGTACTCTTCCCCTGCAGTTTTGCAGTGAAAGGTCCAAAATTTCCCAAAGTTGCCAAAGATCCAATTCTTTATTTTCACTAAGGCAGTTTTACAAATGGGTATGGTTGAAAATTTAGCAGATAACTTCAGATTTAGGCGAATGATTTTGTTTTCGACTACATCACCTATCGTTAAATGCATTTCGGTTGTTCCTGTTGGTCGTTCTTGAAATAGCCACCACGGTCATTAAGAGATACACCCGAAACTCGAAGGCACTAAGACTGCTAAATTATTTTGGTCAAAATCTGTGTAAGTTAAATATGAGTATGAGAAACAGCAGCCCTTACGGTTCTCTTAAATATCAATTGAGACCTAAAGGAACATTTTGCCTGGGCGGAAAAATTATTGTCTACTTTTCCTCTGAATAAATTTTTACATTGTACGACTAATTCACATAGCCTCTGTTATTCCATTTCTCCGTGTAGGGCTTGGTAGAGATTTCTGTTCATATATCTAATTCTAATTTTCAGGAACTAGTCGAAAAAGATATTTTTTGCACATGGCTCCTCCAATTTAAAAGAAATTGCAGTACAGAGCTACAGTTTTTGTTTTATACATTTCCTTTCACTAAATCAGTAATCGAACAAAATATTACTCTACCGGTTAAAATGCTATCAAAGCAAATTTTCAGGAGATGGAGCAACCCTTTTTGTATTCAGTGAAACTGATCCTAGGCGAACGATATACGGACAATATGGATGCTATTTACAAAAGTGTCATCCATCTAATTTTACAACGCATGGAAGAAGCGTGTAGAACGGAACTGATGAGAATACAGAACAAAAATCTCAAACTATGAGCAAAAAGTAATTTGATAAATATAACTTTTTTCACTCAAATCTGGTTTCATTTGCGAAATAAAACAGTTCGCAGCTGAGATGAAGCTCTGTTTTGACGAACTGCAGCGGTGAGTGCGAAGCAGTTTTAAGAAAGATAACGCTGCTTGTTACAGAGAATGTTCGAAAGTGAGATGTTTTTTGGCGAACCATAGTAAGTATGACATGTTGTAGGATCGCATTTACAAATTCATGTCAAAATGTTATTTTGAATAAAAGTTCGTCGCGTCAATGCTGCAAAAAAACGTACAGTGCTTACAGTTAGCGAATTTTACTGCGTCCACTGAGGAAAATTATACAGTTGAAATCGAGGATCGGGGAGGGCAAGGACGTTTGACTGCTCGAGCGCGGTACCAACAGACAAGTCTTAAATTGAATATCAAAAGACTTGTACTATTGGTGTCCATCTCGCATAGCCATCTTGAAAAAATTTTGAAAGCAGAGGAAAAATACGTCTGGTTTCTTGTGCAGCTTAGCTGACAGAGCTCTGGCAACAGGAGGTCTTGGTACAGGTGAAGGAATTACTTTTCACAACTCAGGGGCTAGGATGAGAGTGGGAGGGGGGAGGGGTGTTGGGTTTGACTGCTCGAGGACGATACCAATAGACAAGTCTTATTCGGAATATCGAAAGACTTGTGTTACTGGTATCCATCTCGCACAGCCATCTTGAAAGCAGAGCCAAAATAAGTCCAACATGAAATGCAGTTCTGCTTAGCTGACTGAGTTGTGGCAATAAAAGATTTCGGTGCAGGTGAGGGAATCACTTTTTAAAAAATCAGGGAAATAAAGTTTGGGTGACAAATCATAGGAACAGGTCAAAATTTTCATTTTCGAAACTTTTTCGGTCTGTACTTTTGCACCGACAGAATTCCAAGTGAAACTGAGGCGCGAAACCCTTAGTAACCCTGAAAATTCGGAAATAATTACTGCTCTATTAGCATTAATTTCCCGTGTCTTGGTTAAAATTCCATATTGTGCGGATGAAACAACAACCGCGAGCAGCTAATCCCATTTATGCACCATTTCGATTTTGTTCACGGAGAACAAGAATGCGCATGACTGCGTTTGTGTTATTTCCATCCACAGCACCGGCAAAAGCTCTAACCAGAACTCGAAAACCGGGGATCCGAGTAATAAAGTAGCGGCAGGCAAAATTGCGCGACGGAAGAATGCCACTAGCGAAGCGAGCCATTATCAGCTGCTTTTTTCTCGCTAAATAATGGCATGCAGCGCAAGAGGAATCCTCCAACTGGTCGGTCGCCAAATAGTCTGGATTTACAGCAAAATTTCCGAACACTGATAATTTATTCATAACTTTTTTTCGCCCAAACACGCCCGCCGCCGCTTACACATTTATGTGGTGTCATTTGCTAATCGCGCGATGATCTCACTGATAGCAAAACTACAGTACTTCTCGAAAACTTTTGGAAGAGAATTTCTGCAGCACTTGATGTGCTCAAACCGTCGCTACCAGTACATCACAATGAAACATGTGTGCTACATTTGGGGGCGAGGGGAGGAAGGAGTGAGTGGGGGAG